ATGTTGTTTCTTTCACGATGTATACCATGTTATATACAATATCAAATAAAGAAATGATGCTTACCTATGAGGGGAAATCCAAAAAAAAAAAAAACTATTTAATAGAACTATTTATTTATTCTATATAACCTTACAGTTTTTTTTTTTAATTTAAAAATTAATATCAATATATTTTTCTTCTTGATTATTTTTAACTTTTAATAATTATTTTGTATTAAATTAAATTATTATTATATTAAAATACTTTTTTTATAACTTCTAGTAATTATCTTATACTTAATTATATTATAATATTTTTTTACAACTTTTAACAATTATCTTATATTTAATTTAATAATTAACATATTATAATATTTTAAAAATAAGTTATAATTATAATACTTATTGAATTAATATAATATATTAATTAACTTATTATAGAAAACAATACTTAACAAGTTATGATATCAAATATATAGTAAACCTTCTCTAAATGTATACCTTTTGGAACTATAAAAATTTTTTTGAAAAATATATATTTATAAAGGATATGTATTTATAAAGGTAATTTTATTAAGAGTTCTATGTACTTGGAATCAAGCTTGATTGTATATTTAGAGAGAGAAAATATAGTAAGTGTATTTATAGAAGGTGTATTTAAAAGATTTTTCTATATTAATTTATATTTAATTATTTTTATAGAAAATTAAATTAATATAGATCAGTGGGTCTATAGTATAGTGGTTAATATTTCACAAATCAGATCACAAGATACTAATTCAACTCTAGATAAAGGTGGTTAAATAAAACTTATATAATACCTGACATTATAATCTACTAAGCATTGTTTTTTATATATAGATATTTTATATAGGTATTGAGATTGTAACTTTTCTAATAAGGTATAGTGATATAATAATCATCTGGTAAGTATCATAATAATTATTAGGCAAGTTAAAACTTTATCTATATATTTGAAAATACAGATTAAACTATACTCTATCTTAACCAATTTCAAGCTACTAATATCTTTTCTCTTACTAATAATCAAGTAAAAAGCTTTGAAAAAAAACATTAAATTAATATTAATATATAATTAATCTTATAGCTTCTAAGTACTCTTATGATATATAGGAGTTATATTCTACTTAATATTTCTACTTTTAGATTTGATAACCAAAACCAATTTGGTTATTAAAAATATAAAGTATTTATTAAGAAAGTAAGGACTTGTTCTTAAGAAGTCATATCCTACTTGGTTATATGACTTCTATATTTAATAGCTATATTATTGATCAATAAATTAAAGTTAGAAACATTTATATGGTTCCGAAAATTGGAATCGAATAGAATCGAACAGAATCGCATGAGGTTCAGAACACTATTAAAAATGATGGTGGGGTATACCCCACCTATTAAATTTAATATAAACTTGAGAATCGAATACAGAATCGAATAGAATCGTTAGGATCCTTAAACATTTACTAAGAAGTATATATATATGTTAAAAACTCTTTAAAACTATAGTTACATGAGCAAAAAAATAAGACATGATAAGTAACTTATATAAAGATAATTGACAATCAATCAACTATAATATATGCATAAAAACTGGATCAGTAAGTTAGGTAATTTAAGCTAGTAGTAGAACTTCTATTCTTTAGATAAGTTTTCTCAAATATGTGTAATTCACTTGCAGAGTACAAAGTATATTGCTACATACTGTATAATAGTAAATGGATTATTATTTAGCTATAGTTATAGTATTACAGAGAATTAATTATCTGAATTGTAAATATTTTAAAAATATATAATAAAAATTCATATCTAATGCTATTCTACTATATAAAAAAAAAATTAAATTAAACTAATATCTTATAATTAAATCTAAAAGTATTAACCATTATATTATTAATTTATAGGTCTTTAATTTTTGTATTAATAATTAAACAAGTTAGAAATTATATATACAGTATATCAATAAAATCTTACGTTCATCCCACTTGGCGACTTTAAAAAAAAAACAAAAAAAAAAAAGTATCAGGCATTAATAAAGCATAGTCTAGCTAGTATTAAAAAAAAAAACTAAAATAAAATAAAACTAAAAATGATTACAAATATTTAATTTTTATCTTTTTTTTTAATATTACTTATTAAATAAATTTTACAATTAATTTCTTATTAACTAATATACAGTATATAAATAAAAAATTTTTAGATTATTTATTTATAAAATTTTAACTAATTTTTTTTTAAATCATTGCATTTTACATTAATAATAAAGCTAATTTTATGTAGATTGTTCTTAGATTTACTTTATACTCAGTTTAAGCTAATCAGATCATTGAACATTTTCGAAAGATAAAGAATACTCATTTTTACTTACCACATACCAATACATTTATAAGTTTTATTCGATTCTTATTCCAGTTACTTTATTGAAATGTAGTGATTATGATTAATACATTGTTAAGACTCTGGCAAAGGAAATTAGTTTGTCAGTTCATTATTGGGTCCCGCTGATGATTATTAATTCCCTCATAATCAAGTGGAACGATTCCTATGGTTCGATAATTGACATCACCAATCCTCTGCATTTTTTATGATCGCCTTAACGGCGAAGCTTTTTGTTCCTGCTGTGTTCTTCGTCTGATGCATTCCCACGCTTTATTCCATGTTTTCGTTCGTCCGCTTAAGTAAAATATTGTTAACAGGACGTTTGGTGCTAAATTGAATACCTTCGAAATTAACACAATACCTCTACGCGCTTTTTCCTCTAATTCATCCCAATCTGGTGCGGTATCTTCACTATCTTCTGTCTCAGAACCAGGATCACTATCATTAGATGCTTCTTCATCATAGCTACTTTCATCGCTCTTATTACATGATGTCTCGTTAATACAAATAATAATGTAGATTTCTTTTCGAAAGGTTAAAAAAAGCTTACCGAAGATTCTTCGTATTCATCTTCACTCTGTTGATACTCACTTACTGAATCAGATGATGCATCTGAATCTTCGTTCTGAAAGAACAAAAATCGATCGTCAAAGTAGGCCATTGAACATATAACATCGCTACTCAAGGTGATTTGCTAAATTACCTCACTGTGCAATTTCAAAAATGACCATCCACCTTGTGCATAAAAGTCGGCAGGATCTTGATTAATAGTCTTCATTATTTGGGTCCAATTTAAATTCTGAGTACCCTCATAGAAGGTTACGTCCACTGAACTAATAAATATTGCCGTGAAATTAAGTTTAATATAGAATTTGTTTGGGAAACTTGTACTACAGAAATAATAAGATATAATACTCTAGCCAGTCTTTGACATTTTCTAGTTGGTTCATTGGAATAGTGTTAATGTGAACTGGCGGGCGAGAATAATCTTTGAAAATAAACACAAGATCGAAATTTTTCAGGCCAAACTAAAATAAATACGGCGATCAGTCAGTATTTCCATAGGAGTTTAAATACAAAAACCGAATGTAGATTAAACAACCTGAACACGCTCTAAATGCGCAATTTCTATGTCGCTAATAGGTATTACTAAAAACGGCTGGTCGGTTAAATGTACTAGACATTCCGTCGTGGGTTGTAGTAACACATTTGTTCTAAAAGGTACGCCTTGAAAACCAATATCTCTAAAAGGAATATCTACATCAATACTCCCTTCACTCTGAAGTAAATATAATAAATTTTAAATGAGACTTTATTAGAGTGCAATGTACCATAGTCTACGTTATGCACATACCGCTTCCGCAATTTTTTCAGAAAAGGCTTTAAATTCTTTGTTTAGCAGAGTTCTCCTGCGACGCTCTTCCTGTTCTGCACCAAGTTCATCCTCGTCACCATA